GGATGAGAGTTGGCTCCGATCTCCGCGCAGGGTAAGCGGCGCGCGCGCGGACGCCCACACGGACCTCGATGGACACACGGACACGCTCCCGGCACGACCGTGTGGCCCTCGGAGCGGGGCCCCGCGCGGGCGCGCCCCGCACACACGCCCCCGGGTCCCGCGCGCCCCGGGGCGCGCGTCACGGCTACCGGCGTCTCCTGGTCCGCCTTTTGCCTGGCGGTCAGGGAGAGGAGGACACGCCGGAGGCGCGGGGCCTCGGATGGGGTGGTGGTCGCCGGGCTGGGGGTCACCGAGGCCAGCTGGGGGCGTGGGCGTGGCGAATGTTGTCCTCCCGAACCACTCCTTGTGGGCACAGGAGAGGAGGAGGAGGGAGCCCTCGGCCCCTGCGACCCCAGAGACGACCCCGCCAAAAAGTTGTGGGCGTTCGCTCCCCTCCCTGCACCCCTCTTTCTGCCCTGTCTCCTCTCCCTTTGTTTGGGACTTTTAGCTGGTGGGGCTCTGCTGGGGCCCAGGCCCGCGTGTAGGCGAGGAGGTGAGGTGTAGTGTGGCAGCCCTCAGCCTGGGGCCCCCGCCTGCCTGGAGCAGGCCCTGCACCCCTGTCCAGGCCCACGACCAGGGGAGGGGGGAGAGCCAGAGCCTGGTGGGCTGATGCGCTTGCCCCTGCCTGAGGGTTGTGGCAGAAGGAGCAGCAGCCCCTGGGGCTGTGGAAGTGAGGGGGGGACCCCTGGAACCTGGGTCCACCCTTGGGGCTGTTGCCAGTCTTACATTTCCAGAGGCAGGGAAGATGCAGTTTGGGGGACACCTTTTGCAGAATGGGATTCCCTTCTTGCCTTCCTTGTGCTGGTTGGGGAGGAAATGCAGAGTTCTGAGCCTCTCCCACACCCGCAGACCGAGGCTCCTGAGTCCCAGCCCCCCAGCCCAGCCTAGTTCTGGGAGTTGTTTTAGGGCTGGGCCTGGCAGGGTGGCAGGGGCAGGGCTGTGCAGTTAAGAGAGGAATTTGGAGTCTTGCCTCCATCAGGCACCTACTCTGTGACCTTGGGCAAGAAGGTATTGAGCCTCCCTGTGCCTCAGTTTCCCCACCAGTAAACAGGCAGAGGGGCTGATAAGAGGATCAGATGTGGTGATGCAGGCTACCCACTGGCCGGGCACATCCACGGCAGAGGTCAGAACATCCTGGGGAGGCTGGCAGTGCCCTTTGCCCCCAGGTGGCTGTTGTTTCCCTGGCCCTGCCCCCCAGGACCTAGGCGCATTTAGGGACACAGCCCGGCTGGGTGAGTGGGTTCCAGTTGTTGTCCGTGTCCTGTGCTGGGATGAACTGCACCCCACGGTTGTTAGCTGGGACAGCTTGGCTCAGGGACCTCATTAAACCTGCCCCTCCCTGCTGCAGACCCCTCTGCAACCCCCCTGCATGGTCCAGGTGAGGGGCCTGTGCTGCCTGTCCTTCTCCCTGCCTTGGCTGTGGTGTTGATTCTTCTACAGCAGTTTGTGACTTTGAGGAAGGAGCCTCGAACCCCCACAGTCTGGACAATGCTGGACTTGGAGGGCGTTGCCAGCTTGGTCCTGGGGACTGGGAGGTAGGGGTCTCTGGGGCCTCTGGATAGGTGCCACCCCTCTCCTCTGCCCTTCTTTCCTCTCATCTGCCTTGGCTGGTGGGGTGTGGGGTGTGGCTGTCCCAGCAGTGCAGCCTGGGGACAGGCAGGGCCTGTCCCTGTATGTTTGCTTGCACTTGGGACAGGCATTTCCTGCAGGTTGCACGGGAAGGTCTCAGAGGTGTGGTCTGCTCGGACCTGGCCCTGGCAGCCCGTTTATTCTGAGGCTTCTACTGAGGTGGGTGGGGGCCCTTCACGAAGGGAGAACCAGGCTGTCTTTCTCCAAACCTCCAGCCTGCGAGGCCCCGCTCTGCGCCCTCCTTTTATCTGTGGAGTCCAACCTGGAGTGGGTGTCAGGAGACCGATCGGTCACCAGCTCCATGTGACCTCCCTGGGCCTCACCTTGGCCAACTAGAAACAAGGAGGAGAATCAGGCCCGTTTTTCCTGAATCACCGTTTTGCTGTTCGATAGCATAGAAGAGTGGTTCAGGCACAGCGAAGACAAAGTGATATTAGATTCTAGCGGCCGCTGTTGCCAGGGGAGGCCGCGAGCCTGAAGCTCATCTTCTCTGTAACAGAGTATCTGAGCGGTGTTACAGATGTGACAGCCGGCCCCAAACCCAGACCACATCTTGATGGAATCCGCGTAATCGGAGAGCGAGAGGGCCCCCTTGATGTTTCCATGGTGTGACCCATATTAGTGGCTGTGCCACTGGGTACCCCATCCTCTCACTGGCCCCAGTGGACCCCTTCCAGCTCCCCATGCTTCGCGGATTGGGAGTTTCCCTCCGGAAGCTGAATTTACCAGAGCTTTGTGTGGGAATGGGGTTCCCATCCTGGAGTGGCGTGGCTCCAGCCAGGTGCTCATTTCTGGGAGCCACCCCGTCTTGGGGAGCTCAGCCAGTGTCCCTTCGTGTGGCCTCTGGCCCCTCGTCTCTGGTGTTTGCCCTTCTCTGTGTGTCAGGATGGGGGGCTCCTGTGTGGTGGCCGTGCTGTGGACTTAATGAGCATTTTCAGAGCACCTGTTAGTGCAGGGTATGTGCTAGCTGGAGGAAGACACTGGTGATGCTGTGTGGCCTGGTTGCCACCCTCCTCTGAGTTTCTGCCCGTTTCCCTGCAAGACAGGCGGGAGGCTGCCGCACCTGTTGTCAGGAATCGAGGAGAGCATTCTTGTCGGAAGCGGAGTGCGTGCTTGCTGCCCGCGGGAGCTGCTGACGGTGTTGCGGTCTGTAGCAGGGCATCCCTGCGTTTGAAGAGTTTAAAAATGAATTGGGGAAATGAGACGGGGCCGTGAAAAGTGAGTAATAGGAGGAATAGAGATACCCTGGCTGGGGGAGCAGCTTCTGCTTGCTTAGCCCAGACCCAGGCGTCTTTGGGAAGCTGCCCGCCCACGGCGGAGTTGACCGCTCAGATGGTGCCTGGAAGGCCTTTGATTTGGGGAAACTGAAAGCTGGCTTGGGGGCTCTTTGGCTCTGCGGTGGGTGTAGATCTGTTTCTCCCTTGGCGGAGCAGTGGGGACTCTCGCTGGATCTTCATCCTGGGCAGACTCTCGAGCATATCCTCGTGGAGGGGTCAGGGGTAAGAGGTCAGGTCCTCAAGAGGCAAGTGCTGGCTGGTGGATGTGGGAGGAGGCCTGGATCCCTGAAGGTGATGGTCAGTTAGTGGACAGAGTGCTTAAGGCACAACCCAGCCCCGGAATGGGGGGCAGCCCGGTCACCTCCTTGCAGCCAGCCGCTGACGGAGAAATATGATCAGTTAACCCGAGAACTTGAAGGCAGCTCGCTCCGACTTCTCTTACAGACAGAGATGGAGCACGAAAATGCGGGTTTCCCTAATTAGAGAAAAGGGCCTTCTTCTCGCCTTTGGTGTCTGCCTGTGGCCTGTACAGAGGGGTTGGGCGGAGCCTTCGGGCCGTAACTCACCACTAATGACAGGCGCCATCTAAGGGCTATTGTGAAGATCGTTTGGCATTTGAGTTATCACAGGGTTGTGATTATGTTTAAAGCCCTGTGATTAAAGTACCCCTCGGTTACACTGGAAGACAGGAAGTGCTGGGCCATCAAAAAAGAGTTAATATTAGTAATAGAAATCATTCAGTATAGTGTCAGACATTCTGCTAAGTGTTTTCACACATTGTCCCACGTGGTTCTCACATCATAGGCTTTCTCCCCGTTCTACAGATGAAGAAACTGAGGCACAGAGGGGCAGGGTGGCTTGCCTATGTCCCCAGTTGGTTAAGTGGCAGGGCTGGGATTGGAACTCAGGTCGTTCGTCTCCAAAGGCTGTGCTCTTAGCCTCATTGCCTCCCTAATAATCCCTTGGTAAAGTTCAGTTAAATTTCTGGGGGTTTATGAAAGAAACATAAGTAAATTTAAAGTAAGGATGAGAAGTCTCTCTTTGCTGTCAAATATGCACTAACGGTAGGAGCGTCTCTACATTGGGCCTGAGGGCCTTCCCCGTACTTTGTATGGTTGATTTTCATAACAGCTGCAGGTAGGAGCTATTATGGGCTCCATCTCACAGATCAGGAGGCCCCAGCACAGAGCAGTTCAGTAACTTCCCCGAGGCCGCAAGCTGGCCGGTGGCAGAGCCGAGTTTGAACCTGGTGGTCTCTGTTCCTAACCTGGGTACCGTATGCAGGAGGGTTAGGTGGAGAAGACTCTGGGTCTGCTGCTGTGTGTTCTTGGGCAAGACGTGTAACCTCAGCTGAGGCTGGGCCTCCGTTTGGTCACCTGTAACCTGTAAGGGCCCTGGTGTAGAATATAGAAGCCAGAGGTCTGAGAGGTGTACCTCCTCCAGCATGAAGGCCCTACGTGGGGAGCCCTGTCTACTGCAGCTTCCCCCAGGAGGAGGGGGAGGAGGAGGAGAGTCGTGGTGAAGAGCCGGCTAGCGCACCATCCACAGCTGGGCTGGTGTCGTGTGGGGCAGCTGTGGTTGTCTGGGTGTGAGGGCTGCTGGCTCTCCTTGGAGCTCGGACCAGACCTGGGGGAGAAAGATACCTGCCACCCAGTACCGCATGGATCCCCTCTGTGAAGTGGGGGCACTCAGGAAGCACTGTGTTCTGTGAGTTGTGACCTGTCCCTCGGGAATGGGGGCAAGGGCAGCTCTGCCCAGAACCCCTCTGTGCCACCACGCCTGAGTTAATCTGTGGGTGGGAGAAATCCAGTGCACCAGGTGCCATCCGGGGCTCCAGTGGGCAGGGGGGGCCCCTGGGGAAACAGCTCACCCTCTCTCTTGGTTGGCTTCCCCGTGGTCAGGGGAAAGGGCTGGTGCTTCTAGCTCGTCCCATGTGGGCAGGGGCTTGTGGCTGGCTGGGGGTGGGCAGGTGGCACAAGGAGGCAGGAGTCCCTCTCCAGCCCTGCCGCCTGCAGTGCAGGTGTGGGGCACCCCTGACCCCGGCCTGTGCCCCAGGCACCCTCCCAGGACAGAGAGGCCCTTTCTC